GTCAAAACAAGTGTCAACTACAAGAGTTGGTGAGTTCACAGGTTTTCATTTCACAACAAATCTTTATGCAAAATTTAATTCGAGTAAAGCTTTTACTTACTCGCAACACTTTCACACGAGGCACAATGTACTCCAAGTAATTTTTACGTGTTGGGCCACTACTAAACCTACGACAACTACGCCCTTTAATACCGGACTACCTCAACATTGGGACTAAACCCCACATGTGTAGAACTCATACCGGACTACCTCAGCGGTGGGACTAAACCCCACATGTGTAGAACTCAYACYRGACTACCTCAGCGGTGGGACTAAACCCCACATGTGTAGAACTCATACCGGACTACCTCTGCGGTGGGACTAAACCCCACATGTGTAGAACTCATACCGAACTACCTCATCGGTGGGACTGAACCCCGCATGTGTAAAACTCATACCGGACTACCTCAGCGGTGGGACTAAACCCTACATGTGTAGAACTCTTGTTTTAGTTAAATGCACCCCTACTCACCAGCAGAAGGTGGGATTGTCAATCCAAATAGCGCTATCCACTTAAACTATCGGCTCAAACGAGTTAATAAGTAGTGTAACCAATGGGACTTTTTAATTAACCCAAACACAACTATTACTAGTGTACAAAGTGTTAGTGCTCGTAATCACAATTTCATTTCAAAGCATAATTCATAACAATCAATTTGAATCCACAGTTTAAACGCAATGAATATTGCATGCAAAACATCACTATATTTATACATGCTTTTTTCCCCAAATAACGAAAAGTTTTAAAAAGGGGCCGTGAATATGCACTTTTCGTAATGAAATAGCTCATATCACAATTTCAATCATGCTTTTCGCCCCAAAACGTGAAAATGGTAAAAAGGGGGCTGTGAAACTCACTCTTTTACAAAGCTCTGCAAATTAAAGATACGATCCGGTCACCACACGAGCTTAACGATTCCCTATCAAAGAGGAATATCCAAAACTCTCACTTATGGGTTTAAAACCACTTATGGGGATTAATAAGTCCTAAGTCCATAAGTGTCTACTTATGTCCAACTTGATTATCTATAGTCCAAATATACATAATGTCCATATGCTCGTTAATATAGTAATTTATACCGGAAGTAATGCTATAGTCCACTAAAAAGATCAAAATTTACAAAATCAACTAATCCCAAAATCTCATATTTGGACAGAAACTAATGATACTTAAAATGATCAATTTAAAGAGACTTCTAAAATGAGATAGTTTTCTATCTTTTTACATGGGCTATAGCTCTGAGTCATGGTCATCGTGACCAAATTTCATGTATTTTGGACATGCAATAATAATTCAAATAATTTATGCAATACAATTTATCACAACTGATATGGCAGATTACACCGTGTTAGTAAAATACTCATTTAAAGAGTTCTACTAAGTGTTCTACAGAAATTCAAGTTGGATTATAAACTTAACACTTGTATGAACTTTCAAACAAAGAATCACTCATTTTGGATGAGTTAAACGGAAGATATGGTACCATAAAGTTACATGCACACATATGTCATTAGTTGACAGATTACACACTTAATTTTAATAAATTGGTTAATGCCTCAAAACTTGGTATTTTTTAGTGAAACTGGGTTCATATGAACCCTAACTCATAAATGAACATTTCAGAAGAAAAATAATACACTAAGAGCAAGTAAGTAAAGAGTTATTAGCATACAAAGTAGGAGTTACCTACTGGTGGTTTCACAGTTTGCACACCTAAAGTGTTTTAGGTGTTTAGAGATCAAAGCTCCATATTTTCACGTGATTCCACTTGCAAGCAGAAGACAACTCATATAGTTAACTCTAAAAGGAAGAATCATCCTTTTTCATCGAGTTTTGAAAGAGATATGGTCATGGGAACCTATATATACAAATCTGTCAAATTTGGATAGATTGGATGTTCACTTTGTTTTGAGTAGTTAAAACCTCAAATCACCACAATATTGAATGAAATTGGTGGAATTTGAAAGGCAGCTCATTAAACTAACATCCAGAAGAAAAATCAACAATTTTGAATGATTATCTAAAGAGTTATGGCTGTTTAAAGTAGGGTTTACCTATTGAAAAACTCTCAGATGCACATATATAATGTTTTGAGTATTTGGGGAGCCAAAACTCAATGTTTTTGAGTGAGACTAATTGGATTACAACCCCAACTCAATAAATAAACTTTTAGAAGAAGATTCAGAACATTTGAACATATTATTTTCAAGATATGGACGATTTATGCACATGCACATAATCTGTCAGCATCTAAAAATGCCATTTTTAAGAAACAAACCCACATGCAACATGATTTTACCCATTTTCTTGAGTTCTAATGTTTGGGTCATAGATTACCACCATCATATGAACATTTTTACATGTTTTTGGTGTGTAATCTCTCCTTAAAACTCAGAATTTTTGGAGGTTAGAAGATAGTAAATAGAAATGCATAAAAAGTGGGTTTTTCCCCCAACATTTGCAAGAAAAAGATGGAGATGAAGTTGTTACCTTGATTTATGATGAGAGGGATGTAATATCTTCAAAATCCTTGCTATTTTGATGGAGAAATATGGAGATTTTTGGCTGATTATGAAGGATGATGAAGATGATCTAATGTGACTCTTGAGTTTAGATAGAGAGAGGGAGAGGGAGTTTCAAATTTTGAAATGAGATAATGAGTTGTAAGTGGAGAAAATATGGTATTTATATGTGGGTATTAGGAGGGAAAGGGGAGGGAGGGGCTGGCCGTGGGAGCCCAAGCCCAACCTCTATATATATATATATATATATATATATATATATATTTTAAACTTTAAGCCCAAAATGCTAAAATGTAATTTTTCTCAATTTTGACATTTTTCTTCAAATTAAAAACCCATGATGGCTAAATTCATTTAATAAAAAGGTTTTATATTTAAAACACTAAAACTTTGTGTTTTATATAAATTGGGTATAAATTGGAGCATTTGGCACTATATAGGACGTTTCAGATAATTACGGATCGGAACCGGACTTTCTAAGCAACTACCGGAAACTATAGAAAATTTTTCGCCAATCTAACCTAACTAATTCCTAATCTTATAAATTATCTTCAATAACACTAATATAAACTTAATAAGAGCTAACCTGGAAGTTCAAATTTGACAGTTGTCACAAGATATAGGTTTATGTGTCAGAACAGGTTTGATTCTGAACTGATTGTTTGGAAAGTATATTGTTCGTTTGAGAATTATACGCTCACTAGACCTTTTTGGTCTAACACTCAGTTGTTGGACTAACCTGTTTTGCAGGTCATCATACCTCGCAAGATAAAGGCAAGGGAAAACTTTAGAATGAATGACGTTTAGTTATTTAAAATGTATATGAAGAAAGTATTTTGTTAATCTGTAGTTTGTAAACAATGTTATATATTATGTTATGAGTATGATGATGTGGATCATCGGTACATAGAATATGTGGGTTGTTACAAAACCGATAAAAGATACTGATGTTTTTTAGACGGTTGTGACGTAAAGTCTGTTTTAAAAGAAATAATGATTTGAGAAATGTTTATTCCAAACGTGGTGACATAAGTCTATTCTGGTATGGAACTAGGTTTCTTCCAGACATGGTGAAGTAAGTCTATTCTGGTATGAAACCATGTTTTGTGTTTATCAAATGTTTCTTCCAGACNTTCTGGTATGAAACCATGTTTTGTGTTTATCAAATGTTTCTTCCAGACATGGTAATGTAACTTTGTTCTGGTATGGAACTAGGTTTCTTCCAGACGTGGTGACCTAAGTCTGTTCTGGTATGAAACTATGTTTTGAGGCCATTATTGGCTAAAACAACAGATATATTTGTAGATTTGAGAAAAAAACAAGGGTGTCATATCAAGGAGAGGTGT